ACGTATCAGTTGATGAATGCGTCAAATATGCATACTAGTAATTGTAAATACGAAAGTATATTTGTCTGTCTGTTTGTTAAATTTCTACATTTAAATGCTTGTATAGACTTTAATAAAAATTGTCGCGAATAACAGGAGATCTATCACATCTATCTTTTATATAAAAAGACATACTAGCGAGTCACAGCTAGTGTGTATAAAAAAACTAAATTACGGTTCGGTTTAAAATAGTGAATAATATAATTGTTACTGTACTAAAATGCAGTCAAATTTCGACACAACTAATTATAAAAAAAATAATCTGTGTTACGTTATAGTTTCTAATAAAGTAATTTTTTATTCACACATTCTCACGCCAATGTTTTTCGTACAGTGAGTAAACTCCAATAGCGCACAACACAGAAATCTTGCTTTAAACGTTTAATCTTGGTTTTGGTATTATAGATTATTTTAATTGTCGCATATAATGAAATCTGTTTACTTATAATATTTTGAAATGCACGCGTGCTCAAAACCAAATATTTATACGGTATGGTAAAATCGTAGTGTATATTTTGTAAAGAAATTGTAATAGGTATAACCTAAGTTTATAATAATAGTAGTGCTTCAGGGCGAGTACGGTTGTAGCCCTAATAGCGGATTGAATGAAAACATGTTTTCTTTTAAATGAAAACAAAATCGATTTTTAAAATTTTTTACTTACACAGCTTTTCCTCGTTACGCTATAGAAAATTTTCAGTGTTGCTACACTATACGAGTTAACCATAAATATAGAGAATTTGTAATAATTTATGTAAAATAAAAAGTGATATATCATTACACGCTATAATCGCTCAAAGTGATTGTGTTGATCTCTTTAACTGTAAAAATAATGAAGAATTTATTAACAATAAATTCAAACAAGTTAAGTAAATTCCGTCATTTTTACAATTAAAATAAGGTCATTTTTGCTTAGAATTAGACGATAATTCTCCTCAATGTGGGAAATTATTATATCTTAACACCTAAATTCTTCAAATCCCGCCAAGATGCCGTGCCAACGCGCCGGTCACTGGAGCACAATGAAAGTATAGTTTATTATATTTATATAAGTATAAAGTAAATAAATGGAAGTCTAATGAGGAGAGAAAGGCACGCAAAGTGTATTTACATATGTGCTACGGTTGTTGGACGTTGGCATGGCAGTGCTTATGTATTAATACAGTCGTCCCAAGAAAAAAAATGGATGACGTCATTGTAACGAAAAATGGGAATGAAAAGTAATGAATGACGCAGTTTTGTTAAGGACTTTACAGACGCATACGCTCCGAATCGCAACCGATCGGTAAAGATGTTTGTTTTCAGATACTATAATAATTGTAGACAAAAGACACGTCGAATTCTTTATCTAGGTATTACCACAATGAAGAAATTGTTATTGTTATTCTGAAATATTAAATATTAATTAAATAAATAAGGACTCAGATGACAATTACAGAGTATTACAGACTGATTATTATATTATAATTTTAGTTCTTTTGTCATTATATTTTATAAATTCGAATTTTTGAGACCATTTGAAAGTAAGAAATTTCATTATCATCCACAAAAATAACGGAATAATGTATTAGATTATTAAATGCATTATTATCTATTCGTATAAAAATCTAACAAAATATAATATTTTTATATTTTTTAATTGATTTTTATATTTATTTATATATAGACAACTAAACAGTTTGGTACACCATTTTTTCTTCTTTTCGAGACGACTGTACTGTAACTATATGTGATATCTATGTATAAAATATCGCTAATTCAATGCATTACATCATTCATTATCATATTGCAAGTGACAAGATCTCTATTTCGTAAAATACATGAGATATGACGTGTTCAATTGAAATAATGTAGACAAAACAGTCTCTGAAATATAATTATAATCTCTCACATATCTATATAGTTGCAAACAAGTGAATATATTTATACATACAATTAGAAAAAATCATGATCCTACCACGTTTAAGTTTTAGTGCTTCAACCGCCATCACAGATAAACTGCCTAAATATCGGGAACTCAATAAAAAATAATAAAACGTGGTAAGGTCCCGTGATTGTTCCTAACTGACAAATATTGACCGCATCATATTAAAAAAAAAATATTTTCTAAAAGTAATTCGATTTTTGTAATGCGATGCGAACATGTGAAGTGTAATTCGACTAATAACTGCCTTTACACGACACGTTTTTTCACGCGCGGTATAGCCAGCGCAATGTGAGTTATTGTATTTTACTATATTTTGTGTTCACTCTTTCACATGTAATAGCGCGTATGACTGAAGTCATTTCACTTTCCTTTAAAATTAAATTTTATTACACAGATTTTATTTTCCAAAGACAATTATTTAAGAGCAGTTATAATTACAAAGTTATTGATAAGTTATAATTATCAATAACTTTATAATTATGACTACTCTAAAGTCATGTGTCCATCATTTTGCTATGATAATTAATTATTACAAAAAGGCGCTAAAGTGCTCACGCAGTAGAGCGCAGTCTTTCTCGTTCTCTTTGCCTACATTTACATGCTTATTCTTTCCTGCGTGAAAGCCGATTCCCTCGTATAAGAGATTACGTATAAAGGCAGTTAATGCATAAGGTGATCACTCGTTGCTTGCGATGGGTAGAATGCAGGATGTTATTTATTCAATTTTACAAGTATTAATGCAGTAATGTACAGCATCTTAACGCATTTTATGGTAAGCTTCGATCGTTAAATTATATGGATGCGTCCAGTAGTACCTTAACCTTTTTTTGTTAAATAACATACCGCATTAGACCGTGCGCATGCATTGCGATGCTACCTTTATACCACAGTTGCATACAAAATTGTCTACTAGGCAAGCTTCATTGTTTATGGTATTGTTTATTGTGGCATATACACTCTGGTAGATACTAGAAGCTGAAATTAATTACATGTAATTTAAGTCTAATATGGTAAGTAATAAATACATTCTGTAATGAAAAATTGCAAGGCCTATATTCCATTTGTCGTACAACAAAAAATAAGTTTATTTTAATTAAAACCCATTCATTGGGTTACCCAAATAAAGCGACTAAAGTTAGAATTCCGTATCTCCGAAGAGTGTAGGGCTAAGCAATCAAATGCACCAAACGGAGTCCTATTCGGACAACCTGACCACTAATCGGATGTATACGAGCAGCCTAATTTAAACTTACTTATTGATATGTACTGTTATAATTCTAAGGTATGAACGTAAATCATAAAATCACATTGAATAAGAAGCAAATCAGTTACCATTTAAGAAACTGGTTACCAGAAGCTTGATTATATAACTCTGTTAATAACAATTCTAACTTGAAACAAATTGTAGTCTATATTTGAATTATGTTTGTTGCAATTAAAATATACATCTTATTTTATAACTGCCAGTCTTGAATGGTTCGTAGAAAGTCGCAAAAGCGTAAATTTTTATATTTCAAAAATTAGAATTATCATAAATGTATCTTGTTTTTGCTTATATCTGGTAATAATTTAATTAAATAATATATTCGTTCATAAAATAAGTGATATTGGGTTCATGTATGCATACCTTTTAATGCAGCAAAGCCTAATATTTTTCCTAAATGTTAAAACTAAATTTTTAGTTACAGGAACCTGTTACTAATTTTGATGATCAGTTCTATGTGAAATAAATAACAACAGATAACAGATCAAAATATTTGCGGTTCAAGATGAATGGATTTTAAATAATTTTATTATTGCTGTGCTACTAATCCCAAGATCATTTCTGGAACTACAATTATCCAGGTGCACCAGAGAGAGAGAGAGAATATTTTTCATGTCTACTGAAAATTCCATTCCAAAACATTCTGGAATAAGTGGAACAGTTACTGGAACAGTTGTGAATGAAGTTATTATTGGCAGTATAGATTGTTTCAATAGCATGGCTGATTTAGAGGTTGCTAAATATATTGGATGTATAAAACAAGCAATGTATGTAAAAATGTGTCACAGACTAAAATCTATTCTACCCAGAGGGCACCGGTGGAGGTTTGAACATCGACTAAGGCTATTTCGATCCCCATTGGAATGGGATCTATCGAAAGGGTTATAGATCGTGTTCACAGAACCGACGAGCATCAATATAAGTAAGTAAGTACGGTCACACAGTATTCTGTTGTGTTGGACGATTTCATTAGGTACTCCCATTCTATTGGCGTATGTCTATTGCTACGTCTCATTGTAAATGCATCATTTAGATCTTGGTTGCATAGGATAATCGTCCGACTGAACCGAAGAGTATGTGGCCACTCTAGATTATTTGCAACAACAATGCTAAACCAGCCAAAACACTTCAACAACTTTGCTCCATTGTAATATATAAGCGAGAACTTCACAAGAAGCATTCAACACAAAGCCAAAGCTTGAACTGTTACAAAATAAATATTTACATTCACTAAGACTAATTGTGTCACATTGCATTGCGTGAGATTAACTATCAAAATCGACTATCAATTTAAAATATTTGGATAAATTTCTCAATTATAATATACAATTCTAAAATATCTACAGAGAATGGAGTGACCCTGTTTTTACAAGACCTTAGAGTAACAGAGGTCTTAAGGCTCATTTACACGATGCGATTTTATTTAATTAATATATTGTATCGTGTAAACGAGACTATAGTAACCTAAACCACTGAGCGAGGTATTACAAAGGATATTAGAAAATTAATTTGGTAACAAGTAATACAGGTGTGTTTATAATTAATTTTCTAAAAGAAATTGTACAACGAAATAATTTTTCATTGTGAATATCATAATTTCAATAAATTTAACAAATTTCAAAACTATGAAATATAAATGAAATGATAATATTTCAAATTAAAAAGTCGATTATTTTAATGCCGTCTTTGACGACCAATACTAAAATAATAAAATATAAAACAATAATAAAATACAGAGTAACGAGTAGTACAGAACTAAACCAACAAATTAATTTACATTAATACTTTTGAATTTCGTTAAATTTAAATTGAATTTTCTGAAATTATAATTGTCTATAAACTTATGCATAAAAAAAGAAAACAGTTCATGGACGAATAGCGAAACTTAAACATTGCACAAAGGAATCACTGAGTTGCTTCAGCGGTGTGGTAATGAGATGGGTGGTATCGCCAAACCTGAGGCGGGGAGTATTCGACTGGAACCTCTTGAGCTGCTCCCCCGGCCCCCCACATCAGCACCGTCTGCCTCGGCATCTCGGAAGGTTGGGTCTGCTGCATTCTCTCCTGTTCCGTCGACCCACTAGACCCCCCTGGACTTGGTCCGGGAACGATACTAGGCGACCTTCTATCCTGCCCCATAACTGGGCTCATATATCTTCCGCTACTATCTACATAAGTGTATTCTCTAGATGGTGGCCTATGATAAGTTGGAGCCACTTCGTAACCAGGTGGAGGGGCAGGTTCCAGGAAGCCATTGGGCGCGTAAGGAGTGTAATGGTAAGAAAGAGGTTTATACTGATGGAAGAGGTTGTCGGCTGCTAAAAATCTGTCATCTAGAGGTGGTGGAGCATAATGTAACGCTGGTGCAGGGGGATATTCTCCATAAGGTGCTGTATATGCTCCATTTAGGTTAGTGTACGCAGCAGCAACTGCATCTGCTGCTAAATATTCTACAGGCGGAGGAGCAGGCGTAGTTGGCATTCGTCTTTTGTTTCGACAAGTTGAAAGAAAGTCCCTTAATTGAGTCTTGTATCTCCTGGCAGCTCTAGGCGGTGTGGTCACATTGGATTCGCAGCCGGATAGCTGTTCCGTTTCTGAGAAGTATAAGCTAGTGAGACCCGTATCTAGGTAGCTGACTTTGAAGTCCATTGTTCTTTTACCCAATAAATCTCTACCTTCTTCCTCCCTGAAAGAAACATAGGTAAATTTTTACTTTTGTGTCAATTTTATGTTTTTTAAAGTACATAATTTAATTATCATATTTAAAGTACATAATTTAATGAGCTCTAAAGCTGCATTTTAGATTATGCTTTTCGTTCGTCGCAAGTTCGATTTCTTGACGGTGCAAACATGTATGAGTCTCATTGCTTATACGTATTTATGGGTCCTAGTGTTCTCACGTGTGAATTTAGAATAAATTAATTATTTATATCAATTGTATGGTACCCATAACATTTGGTCTACTTTGCTTGGGTCCAGATGGCATTGTGTGTAATTCACATAATGCCATCCAGGATAATTCCTGGATCGTTATTATTATTATATAAGCACTAGTAATTACATATTAGTGGTGTAGTGTACTCACATTAGAGGTCTATGTGTGCTAATGACGAAGTCAGGCTTGGAGTTCTTGTAGACGAGTCGTGATGAGGTCTGCAGCCATTGCCATTGACCATCCTTCGTCTGGAAGCGATACGCGATCATACCGGAAGCACCTGTTTTCAATACTGAAAAGATAAAAAATACATTACAGTGCTGCAGTGCCACGCTGCATCTGTACGGCACCAGCTGAGTGGACGGCCTTTCAGCTCATAGCGCGATATTAATTTTTAAGTTTTCTATATTATTATTATTATTTACATTTTCTCAGCTTTTGCTGGATTTTGTACTATATTTTTATTACTTACACTTACTTACATACTTAAAGATAATAAACAACTCTATATAATTTCAACATACGATTTCATTTTTTTTATTTATCTCAGAATAGAATAGAAAATCATTTATTTAAATAAACTTAATTTAAGTACTTTTGAATAGTCATAGTTATAATTCTTTTAATCTACCGCTTATTCGTAAAGCTGTCTCATCTTTGCTCTTTTAAATGATCATTGTAACCAACTACCACTAATTTATTAACTTCAGATATTAAGTACACAATATGATAAAATAAATTATGATAAAAAGAATATCAACAAAAATACTATACTTACATTCTTGATGAGCACTAGCGACGTAAGCTAGATCATCGTAATGTACTAGATCATAACCACCCATATTTGCTAATTCTGCATCTGTATACCCTAGCAGCATTTTACCCCTGGAAAAAAAGGCGAGAACATCAAAACAATTTCAAATCCATCAATGTCATATCAATTTTAATATTTATTAGATAAATATTTCTAAAAAAGCTATCTGCAAGTTAAAGTCTCGTCAAAGTTCGTCCAGCAGTTTTAGAGATTAGTAAGAACGAACCAAACAGACAATCTTTTTTTAATTTATATATTTTAAAGTACCGGATATACTTTTAAATGAATTTAATGTAAAACTATTGTGTGTCAAAGTGCAATTTGAAATTAAAAAGGGACACTTCATTTTTCTTTATTTGTATAGGTAAATAAAATTTATAGAGAATATAACATTTATAGGTCCATGTGAAGTGACTTTCGTATGAAGTGATTTCCGGTATATCAATAATCAATAATATATTTATTATGAATCTTATTTTTGATATCATATCCTTGTCATATATATAATATATATTATTTCGGCTAGTGAAAGATAAAATTGTTTACAATTTTATTACAAAATTATAAAGTTATTTTACTCTTAAAAAATCCTTGTTTTTAGTTACCTTTGATCCATTGAGACTAGAGAAAGATCGAGCTTGTGTTTGCTCTTGAACATGACCTCCTTCTGCGGTATTTCTAGCAGGCTTGGAGGTCCAAACGGTGCACATATTGCGAACAATGCTAAAGGAGGCTCCTCAGTTTTCTTGTTCTGGCCGTGGAGTACTTTGATTCGACCCCGAATGTCTAGCCTCTGTTGAAAAGCAGAATTATCATTATCCTCTCATTGTATATGAAGATACATAATAACTTCATAATTATACATGAAATTTTAAGAACAGATTATATTCATAACAAGTTGTCCCTTTATTTTGGAGATCTGTGGCATCAACAGACAAATGCGTCCATGTGTCTGTATGTAGACATTAATTCTATAACACTCCCGTCCTTTGCGTCGTTATAATTTACTATTTTTATTTTGGAAATAAATCCATCTTTTCATTAACTATATGCAACTCGGTTATCTATAACCATAACACTAGACAATTCACATAGCATCTTCTAGTCCCAATCTAATGTGAGCAAGGTTGGTATATTCAACAATAAGTAGATCTATTTCATACAAAGCAACCTCAGACCCGTCATCAACGTATTTAGTTTGGACGCATTGTAATATATTGAATTTTAAAATTATACTTACCAAGAAACCTGAAGTGTTATCTAATAAACATCTAAATCGAACAGTGAAACTTCTCTCGAGCAGGTGAGTTCTGTCTGGCCTCAGTACATCTTGGAGGGTAAGGTTGTTGACTTCTGGAGGCAGGAAGGAGTTCCAGAGTAATTGACGTTGCAATTCCTCGCGGTCTTCTGAGTGGACCAGCTCGTACACTGATTGGTGGACTATGTCCGACTGGAAAGACAGACAAACGGTTAGTTAGTTTATTAGTTAATTATTATTTAATTAATCACCCCCAGCTTCGCACGGGTATACATGTATTATATATACCTTCCTCTTGAATCACTCTATCTGTTAAAAAAACTGCTTCAAAATCCGTTGCGTAGTTGTAAAGATTTAAGCATACATAGGGACAGACAGCGACAGCGACTTTATTTTATACTATGTAATGATGATGTAGTGAAGGAATTGAATTATTTTGATATATATAAACTTATATTTATGGAGATAGTAGATGATAGTCATACTAATATTATAAACACAAATCTATCTGACTGTCTCTGTTGTTACCTTTTCACGATTTAACGGATTCTTAATGATATTTGGAAGAGCTACCTATTCCCGCGACTTCGTCTGTCTATTATAGGATAGTTATAGATTATCCTTTATCTAACATATGACACTAAATAAATCAAAAGGCGGCTTCATTTAAAGGTTAATCTGTATAACAATGAAAATTTTAACTTTAAATTGTAAGGACTTCATAATTACTAAGATGTGGGTAATAGTTGTTTCATCAATTTACTTATTTTTCATATTACTATTATGTTAAATATATCTTTTGCTATTTATTGAATCTACGAAATCAAATTTGATATCAAATATTTCATTAAAATCATAAAACATCCAAATATTTCTATAAAGAACAGGATACAAAACTTGTTAATAAGAAGATTAATTTATACCAATAACAATGATATTAAAGCTGAACTAACGACAACCAATCTCAAAGGACAGTATAACAAGGTATTTAATAAATACAAAGAAAAACGTTTCCAAGCAAAAAAAAGCAAGTCATCAATCGGACCGTAAATCAATAAAGCACTGATAACCCTAAAAATCGATTCCAACTCGATCATTAAAGAATCATCTGTAACGAAGATGGACGTGTTAATTTCAAGTCACATCATCCAAACGTCAGCTCTATACTAACCGTATAAAGTTTAAATTAGAGTATAGATCTGTAAACATTTATTTTTAACACATCATATAATAAAGAACCGTGTAAACAGTGTGGATAATGCGGCAACAACACATGATGCGAGCACAAAACTAATTGATAATCAATGGGGTCGCTCAAGGTACAACATTGGGACCCCTCTTCGAATGTTGACATGTAAATGAATGATTCAAAAATATACCCGGAAAGTAGATACTGAATGGGGTTTGTTGGCGCACAATGTGAGTTCGAACATATTGCGATGGCACTAAATGTCAGAGGATGATTTGTTGGGTAATTGCTTTTTGTTCTCCATTTTTGGGGTAGGCGCGGTTGCTATGGTTAGATTCAATGTTTTGCTGATATGCCTTTGTTTTGGCGTTAGTTGTTGCGTTCGTGGTTTTTTATAACGGTGATTAATGACCTGTATTTTCTTTGCGCATTATATTTTTCTTTTATTTGTATTCTTTACTTTCTACTTCTGCTTCAGAATATTTGAATTACTTCCGAAAGTCTTATACGTATAATAGATCTTAAGGTATAATGATCCAATACAATTCACACAGTGCTATCTAGTATCTATGGATACCAAACAACTGGCAGAAATACTTTTTTTTTGTATGTACCTAGAACAGATAGTGTTTATAGAGATGTTTTTATTGTTCGAGAATCGAACTTCCGATCAGAATCAGCTGGCTCTCAGAGGTTGTTCTGTCAATAACTACTTAACTACACTACTATTTGCTGTTAGAAGTATATACGACAAATAAATAAATAAATAACCAAGGACAATTAACACAGTATCTAGTCCCACAGTAAGCAGAGCTTATGTTATGAGTACCAGCTAACTGTTATAAATACGTAGATATATATTTTTGTAAAAACATACATAACATAGAAAAATCTCAGACCGATACAAACAATCATACTTATGAATACAAATGTTTGCACCGTGCGAGGAATCGAACCCGCGACTATCGGAAGTAAAGCGGTGTGCTAAACCGCTAGATCACCGAGGCCGTCAAATATACATAATATATTGTTTCTGCATTGAAGAATTTTGGTGTGAAGATAGGCGAAAGGAAATTACAGTGTATGCCACGGTAAAACGCAATGATGGGGTCGAAACGGAGCGATATGGAGCC